CACGGTACCAGCCCTCAGGCAGGCCTAGGCCGCGCGCACGAGCGCCTCAAAGTTTTGGCGGGAAAATCGCCAATTCGAGAACCAGAAAAGCTAGAAGGCTGAAATTTTGGGATTATGTTTCCAGTCCAATTAGAGCCCAAAGATTTCAGATTCAGCCCCCGGGGGCTCGTGGTTCCCGCGTACGGTCCCCTGAGAGTTCCTGGCACGAAAATCGCTAGCTCGGGAACCAGGAAAGCTGGGAGGCTGAAAGTTTCAGGAAATGTTCCCCACTCATCTACAAGTGCAATTTATCAAATTCAGCCCCCTGCCATGCGTGGTTGCCGCGTACACCCCCGTGAAAGTTTTTGGCGGGAAAATGAATAACTCCAGAACCAGGGAAGCTGGGAGGCTGAAACTTTCAGGAAATGTTCTCAACTTATCTAGAACTTGAATTTATCAAATTCAGCTCCCCATTATGCGTGGTGGCTGCGCACGGCCCCGTGAAATTTTTTAGCTGCAATTTCGGTAACTCGGGAACTGAGAAAGCTCGGAACCTGGGGTTTCAAGGCAATATTCCCTGTCCAACTATAGCGTGGATAATTAAGTTCCCGAAATTCGAGGACCAGTATGTACAAGAGGTTTTTGGCTAGCGGAATTTCCAGTAATCTTATTACAGCACGAAACACTGCAAAAACGCATGATCGCACGGGGCCCCCCAGTGCGCGTCGCAGATGATTTGACACGCGTTGCTGTATGCTTGTGAGCAAAGTGCGAATAAATCTTCTGTGATCAAGGATTCTTGTTTGTTCCGGAAATACGCTATGCTGCATTTGCTTCCAGCAAATAAGATTTTTGAATTATTTACCCGTTGTTTAAGCTCTCCTACTGTAGTTGTCGTCTTACAAAAAAAATTTTTTTATAGATTGAATGAGATCGCCGCATTGGATGTGGAGGAAAAATCTGAGACGGATGAACAAAAGAAGACGAAGGAACATAAAGACGTGGATAAATTGTTTTTGATTTCTTGGCCAATGGTTCCAAAATTTTATACGAGATTGATGAAGTAAAGTAATCAAATGGCATTGCTATCATCTTGTAGTCTGCGACTCAGGTTTATTAGCCGGCACACTCCTCTCTCTGTGTCGTTGACTGGATTTGATAGCAAAATGCATGTTCGATAGCCAGGGCCACCGTCGGCTTTCTCAAAACAATACGTGCAAAATGAAACCACAGCTGTCTGGAATGCTATTTTTGAAAAGTTTACCACTCACTTCAATTCTGATTGCTCCAATCTTCAAATGTGGAAAATTTTCGACTTCTGCTTGACTTTAGTTTTGGACAAGGAAATGATTTCCGATTTTTTTTGCACATTTGGGGTCGTGATGGTTGTTAAAAAAAATTAGCCAGATATGATCTGCAGCGCTCGCATGCTCAAATGATATGGCGATTCATAGCTGCAGGTGTGCAGCTCAGCAACCCAACACTTGTGCTCCCTTCCCTTCCGTGCTGCTACCTGCTATTTGGTGTAAAAACATCTTTGCATTATCAAAATGACCCACTTGTCGGAAAATTTGGCTTTCGCCTTTTTTCTTCTTTCGGGCAAGAAAAAAAATTGTGCTCCCAACTCGCTGCCAAGCGGTTAATGCTAGCTTTATCCAATTTCCAATACAATCGATTTCCAACCAGATTATTCCTCAGATTTGGGTAATATAACCGAAGCAACGCGATCATCAACCCAGCACAACAAAATATCGTCGTGTTAACACAATAATAACCAATAAACACACCACGTACGCAAAATTAAAACCTTCCCCAATTGCGAGACTCAAATCCCAATGTAGGAAGGCGGGAGGGGGGCGCCCAGCATCCCACCATTATAATTTTGATTTTTTTTCGCCTATAATATGTTTTTCCCCTCTCCTCTCGCCCCCCCCCCTCCTCCCCCTCTCTCAGGAGTCCTCTCCAGCCGGTCGTCACCGTAGTTTGGGATGCACTAGCGGGGATGGCCAGACAATTGAGCGGTGAGTAGCGAGGTGGGCGAGAGGGAGAGGGGAGGGGTGCAATGGCGAAGAGGGAGGGGAGGAAAAATGACCCCCTCCCCCCCAAAAAGACCGCTCTGGATCCAACTATGGCAATATTACTCATCCGATCAACTGCACCTGTCGGGAAATTTGGCTTCTCGCCTTTTTTCTTGCAGACAAGAACTCAACTCGCTGCCACGTGGTTAGTACCAATTTCATCCAACTTCCAACCCAGTCGATCACCAACCAATTGGTACCTCAAATTTAGGTTATTAAACTGAAGCAACGCGATCACAAACGCAGCATAAAAAATTAGCGTCGAGTCAACACAATAACTAATAAACTCATCGCGAACACCAAATTGAAGACCTCCCCCCAACTGAGTGACCCAAATTCCGATGTTGGGGAAAAGGACAGAGGGGGGACCGCCCACAGATACCCAACTACCGTGAATGGAGGCATGGCTGTAGGACGCTGTGAAAACCCAGCGTCACACCGTTGTAATTTTGGTTTTTTTTGCCTATAATATGTTTTGCCCCCTCTCCCGGATTCAACTCGCTTCTACGCGACACTCCGAAAGGGGGGCCAACAAAAAAAGACAGTATATCACCAAACAGTATAGTTCTCCAACCAATTTCCTGCATTTTCATTATCGAAATCCAAATCTATTCGACCAATATCCAGATACTGGGAACGACTATCCCCCAGTTCCGTCGGCACCAGCTGCGATATCGGACGTCTTCACACTTTTACTTTCGCCAAACGTATCTTCACAGACCGAATAAGATTCCCTGGGGAAGCCCCTGCCTTCTCCACCTTTGCCAGTCGCCACGCTCCACGGGGTAGTATCTCACCCATAACCCATACAACTTCTCCAACTACAGGACTGCGGTAACTGAGCCCTCGTTTCTGTCGATGTAACCGCTGAGCCCTTTCGCGAAGGCTTAACAGATGCTTTGACTGTCACTTTCTACAAAACCGATCCAAGCATTTTTCTATCTTCCACCACAGATTTTTGAGCTTTTGTTGCGCGGTAACAGGATTTTCTCGGTTTTCTTCTTCGGGGTTATCAACGTGTCGCACCACACCAATCTGCGCTTTCGGGATGATGGCGCCAATCGATCGCAAAACCTCCAGGCTGTTTGCACCTCTATATATTAAGGGTCTTGAATTTACGATGGATTCTGTTTCTACCAACACTGTAATTAACTCTTTTTCGCTCAAAACCTCCCTTCCACTCATTTTCCGTAAAGTATCCTTTGTCAAACCAACGAAACGTTCAAATGCTCCGCCTTTCCAAGGAGCGTGCGCCGTTATGTTCTTCCATATGATTTTATTGCGGCTAGAATAATCCAATATTCCATCCTCAATCTGTTCTTGAGTTGCCTTATCCGGAAACTGCGCCACCATTTTGAAATTTGTCGCATTATCGCATGTAATCGTCGCTGAAGTCCCTCGTCTTGCAGTGAACCTTCGGAAAACTTGTAAAAAAGCTTCCGCACTGAGATTATCCGCCAATTCCAAATGTACTGCAAGTGCAGCCAAACACGTGAGCAAACGCATGCAACGTTTTGATTCGATCCTGACAGTCCCCTGATATTGATGAAGCTGAAATAGTCCAAGTCGGCACGTATGCCTGGGAGCTGAATTCCATGATCTTAAGCTGTACGTGTACTGGGAACATTCCCTGAACATTTCAGCCTCCTAGCTTTCCTAGCTCCCATTACACCCCTCCCCTCTCCCTCTCGTTGCCCGGGCAAGTGCCACCCCAGGACCGCGGTACCAACCCTCAGGCACGTCTAGGCCCCGCGTACTGGCGCCTCAAAGTGTTGGCAGGAAAATCGCTAACTCGAGAACCAGAAAAGCTAGAAAGCTGAAATTTTGGGATTATGTTT